CAAGTGACTAACAACAGGTCTCAAAGTTCAACTAATATTTTCTAGCCGTTATCTCCTCTCGTCATCTCTCTATCTCATCTCGCTATAACAAAGTAGCGTTATCTGATTATTATTTTAACGCCTAGTTTTTACAACATGCTTTTCCATATCATTTAATTATTTATTGCAACCTATTACCGCATAAACTTTAAACATTGAAATGTTTGCGATTTGTGATAACAACCACTGGCATGATGCAACTCACTCAAAATTAATTTTTGTTTACCGTATGTACATCATGGAAGTAAGTTACTTTGGACACGCACGATAACCTCTCCAAAACACAGGCACGCACTATAACCTCTTCCTAAACACAGGACACGCACGATAACCTCTCCTAAACCGAGGAACAACGCACGATAACCCCTCCTAAACAGAGGACACGCACGATAACCACTCCTAAACAGAGGACACGCACGATAACCTCTCCTAAACAGAGGTACACGCACGATAACCCCCTAAACAGAGGACACGCACGATAACCTCTCCTAAACAGATGACACGCACTATAACCTCTCCTAAACAGATACACGCACGATAGCCTCTCCTAAACATAGGAACGCACGATAAACCTCTTCTAAACAGGACAGACGTCACTATAACCTCTCCTAAACAGAGGACCACCGCAACGATATCCTTTTTTCTCCAAAACAGAGGACACGCACGATAACCTCATCCAAAACAAGGACACGCACGATTAACTCTCCTAAACAGAGGACAACGCATCGAATACCCCACCTAAACAGATGGACACGCACGATAACATCTCCAAAAACAGAGACACGCACGATAACCTCTCCTAAACAAGGACACGCACGATAAACTCTTACAAACATAGAACACGCACGATAACCTCATCTTAAACACAGAACACGGCACGATAACCTACTCCTAAACAGAGGACACGCACGATAACCTCTTTCAAACATAGAACATCCACGCACGATAACCTCTCTTAACACAGAACACGCACGATAACCTCTCCTAAACAGAGGACACTCACGATTAACCTCTTACAAACATAGAACACTCACTATACCTCTCCTAAACACAGAACACGCAAACGATAACCTACTCCTAAACACAGAACAACCACGATAGACCTCTCCTAAAACACAGGACAAAACGCACGATAACCTTTCCTAAACACAGGACACGCACGATAACCTCTCCTTAAACACAGAACTGGACGTATAACCTCACCTAAACACAGGACACGGCACGATAACCTCACCTAAACACAGGACACGCACGATAACCGTCTCTTAAACACAGGACATGCACGATAACCTCTCCTAAACAACAGGACACGCACGATAACCTCTCTTAAACACAGTAACTCACGATAGACCTCTCTTAAACACATGACAACGCACGAAACTCTCTCCCTAAACACAGGACAACGCAGCACGATAACCTTTCCTAAACAGAGGACAACTTCAACGATAACCTCTTACAAACAAAGAACAACGCACGATGAACCTCCCTAACCACAGAACTAACACGCACGATACCTCTCCTAACAGAGGACACGCCACGATAACCGGTCTTACACACATAGAACAAGCACGATAAACCTCTCCTACACACAGTAACATACTCACGATAACCTCTCGCTAAACACAGAACACGCACGATAACCTCTCCTAAACACAGACACGCACGATAACCTTTCCTAAACACAGGACACGCACGATAACCTCTACTTAACACAAAAACATGCACGATAACCCTCCTAAACACATAACAACGCACGATAACCTCTCCAAAACAACAGGACATAACGCACGAATAACCCTCTTAAACACAGGACTGCCGATAACCTCCCCAAACACAGGACCGCACGATCCCCCTTTTTTAAACACAGGACACGCACGATACCTCTTTAAAACACAGGACACGCCGAAAACCTCCCCTAAACACGAACACCACGATAACCTCTTAAACACGGGACACGCACGAAACCTCTCTTAAAAACAGAACACGCACGATAACCTCCCAAAACACAGGACACGCATGATAACCTCCCCTAAACGGACACGCACATAACCTCTTTAAACAAAAACACGCAGATAACCTTCCTAAACACAGGACACCATGAAACCTCTCCTAAAAACACAACACTTGGGGATTTTTTTTCTATTTCATTTAAAATATAAACTATTTGTTTGGTTGGTTGGTTTTTGGGTTTTGGGTTGGGTTGGTTGGTTTGGTCAGGTTCATCGGAAAACGGGGACAATTTTTTTCTGATGCGGGTTTTAGTTATATGATGCCCTAAGCAAAGCTTTTGGTCACTGCCCCGGGGCTTCCACTGGCTTACCCCCCCCCTTTGTTAGTTATTAGTTAGTTAAAGATACCCGGGTTTTCCCCCGGGCCCCCCGGGGCCTTTTCCCAAAGTGGTGGCCCGGGCCTTGGGCCCCTCGTTAGGGAGTGTCTGAGACCCCAAATCTCCCTGGGAGGAGGCCAAGTACCTCCCCATCTTTGGGGCCAACTGTTCCCCCAGGCCTAGCCCAAGTAGGCCTCTCTGGTTCTCCCCCCCC